TCAGCTAATGTGAATGTCAGCTGTGAATGTCATTTAATGTGAATAATGTCAGCTAATGTGAATAATGTCAGCTGTGAATGTCATTTAATGTGAATAATGTCAGCTAATGTGAATAATGTCAGCTGTGAATGTCATTTAATGTGAATAATGTCAGCCCATGTGAATAATGCAAGCTGTGAATGTCAGTTAATGTGAATATCAGTCCATGTGAATAATGTCAGCAAATGTGAATAATGTCAGCTGTGAATGTCATTTAATGTGAATAATGTCAGCCCATGTGAATAATGCAAGCTGTGAATGTCAGCTAATGTGAATGTCAGTCCATGTGAATAATGTCAGCAAATGTGAATAATGTCAGCTGTGAATGTCAGCTAATGTGAATAATGTCAACTAATGTGAATGTCAGTCCATGTGAATAATGCTAGCTGTGAATGTCAGTTAATGTGAATAATGTCAGCTGTGAATGTCAGCTAATTGAATGTCAGTCCATGTGAATGTCAGCTAATGTGAATAATGTCAGCTGTGAATGTCATTTAATGTGAATACTTTCAGCTAATGTGAATGTCAGTTATTGTGAATAAAGTCAGATAATGTAAATAATGTCAGTTAATGTGAATAAAGTCAGATAATGTAATGTCAGTTAATGTGAATAGTCAGATAATGTAAATAATGTCAGTTATTGTGAATAAAGTCAGATAATGTAAATAATGTCAGTTAATGTGAATAATGTTAGTTCAAGTGAATCATGTCAATTAATGTGAATAATGTTGTTTCATTTGAACACTGTTAGTTAATGTTAATGTCTGTTAATGTGAATAATGACACTGGTTTATGTGAATAATGTCATTCCATGTAATGTCAGTTCATGCAAATGTCAAAGTGATTAATGTCAGTCAAACATGATTTAAATCAGTCCAATGTGAACAAAGTCAATTTAATGTGAACGTTAGTTCGATGTGAATAAGGGCTTCATCTAATTTATTATATTACATATGGATTATTATAAGCTTTTTGAATAATCTAAGAATTTTACTGGATGAAGACAATATATAATCAGAAATCAGCACTCAGCTTTTTTTAAGCAAAGCTCCTACTTTTTCCTTGAATCAAGCAGATGACTGCTACAGCCAGACTCCAGTAAGCTGCATGTAAAAAACTTCTGATAAATACAGTCTGTTATATATCTTCTAGATGTACATTAGCAATGTTAACTGTTCATTGTTGAACCAGAAGAATACTAAGTGAAGGCGTTTGATTTTTGTACTCAAGAAGAGGAAGATGAGAAGGAAAAAATAGTATAAGTCAAAAACTACAGTCCTCGAGTTTATTGTGTGGCCCCTAATTTCCTGAGTGATTTCTGCCGGCAGAGATCACCACAACAATTCATGGAGGGAGAGTCTGACGTCCTGCTGTGGACAGAAATGTTCACAAATGTGTTGATGAGTGTATCTGTTGGAATTTATTTGACTGGATTTACTTCTCCATCTGACCAGCCCTCACTTCCTCCCAAAAGATAAAAAATATAAAACATTTAAACAAGAGGTCTGGAAAAAAAAGAAAAAAAAACTAAGTGCCATCCTATTTTGTGGTTGAGATGGAGATATATCTGCACAATGAGAACTGATGAGTAACATAGAATTCCATTTGCTGACAATGAATATGGTTTAAAACAGCTTCCATACTTCAGTAAATATATGGATCTGTAAGTTTTTGTTTTTTGTTTGTTTGTTTTTTTTCTTGTCTGGCTGCATCTCTTCTGCGTCTCTCTGAGAGTCTGCACAGATAGAGAGGAGCGCCTCCATCCTTCCGTTCATCCCCGTGTCTGGACCTGCTGCGTCGGGTACTTGTTCCTGTTTCCTGCTTCCTGTTTGTCAGTAGGCAGGGACGTAAGCGTGAACAGTAGGCAGGGCAGGCAGGGACAGACATTTGGCTATGTACACATTCATGGTCGGTCCATGGCTTTCAACAAACGGCCGCGCTATTTCCGCAGGTCTAATACACACACCTGGAAGAGAGGAGACATCAGAGAACCGCACACACAGAAGCTAAGTGAACATCTGTGTAGTCTCCTGGACACACTTACAGATCCGTCTGATGCACTGGCTCCCACTTTGTCTCCTGCTGCGTTCCAGCACACTTCGAAGATCCCCCCAGTCCCTCTGTAACTGTGAACTAAAGCCCCCGTCTACACAAACCAGAGACGTTAATCAGGTGCGGACTGTTCCGAGAATTTGCCACCAACGTGCAGCGGTTTCTCCTCCTACCTGCGTATTCCAGATGTGCACACATTTATCAAAGGAGCCGCTGGCCAGGTGGCGCCCGTCGGGACTGAAAGCCACACTGTACACGGGCTCCTGGTGTTTGGTCAGGGTGTGGATGCAAATGCCCCGGTCCACATCCCAAAGACGAACCGTGGAGTCGAACGACGCGCTGCAGAAGCAGCACAAACACTGTTACAACTGTCGAACACACTGAGGCTCCCACAGCGCAGGAGGAGGTTTAACTGTTTGTGTTCACTCTGAAACCTGCATACAGGAAGTGTCAGCTTTAATGTTATTAAAATCTGATTTTAAACGGCATGCACATTTTTCATTTTTAAAGTTTGGCAGCATAAAATAGTGACACAAAGGTTCAGGCGCACCATTAGCAGTTTATAACTAATAGATAATGTTGCACTTCTACCCATGAAAGAAGCATTTCTCAGCTTTTTCTCCTTTAATAAAAACCATATTTCACACGTTGTGCACAGAACGCCGTCTTTTTCCTAGTTTTCTTAATTAATTTATGGACAGTGTAAGCACTGCACTGCTGCTACATGGTAAACACACACACACACCTAGCAAGCATGAGATTAGCACTGGGATTGCTGGTTCCTGGGCCAGTGGGACTCCATTTGATGGTGTAGATTTCTTTGCTGTGCGCCTGTAGGTCATGAACGCATGTGTCCTGCTTCATACTCCAGATCTGAAGGCACACAAAGCCAACAACAAAGTTAAACACAGGTGCACACGAGCAACCAGAGGAGTTACACACATTAGACATGAATGCATCCTTGTTTTTTTTTTTGTTTTTTTACAAATGGTCTGCCCTCTGGGGCAATGAGTTTGGAGGTGGGTGAAGGTTGTGCGATGCTGCACGGTCAAAAAAATGTCAATATGTTGTGCACATGTACAAAATAACTGCACACTAAAATGACGACATGCAGTCTGGTCAAACACTGAATCATGCTTCCTTTTAATACAAAGAAAAATGTGTTCACTGTGTGAACTAGTGTACAGCATGCCAAGATACACTCTTCTTTTGGCTGTTTAAGAAACCATTTTAGTTTAGTAAATCCAACAAAAGATTTTTAAAAATGTGTGTAATTTTGCAAATATTAGTCAGTGGCTACAATTATGCAGAGGTCAGAAACAAAAGCTATTGCACAAATGGTTCAAACATGTCTAAAACTCAAGCAACAGGATTGAGCTCATTCGGGACTCGTGCCAGGAAAAACTGATAACCACCACAAACATCTCCACATCCTGGAGACTCCTTTATGAATGCTGTCTGTCAGTCTAGTCGCAGCCCAGTGAGATTCCACTGTAGCCGAACAATGTTAGATAAGATATGAATTATTGACAACTGTATGACAGAACACAAAACTCCAGCTCAGTGCTGAAGCAGGAGTGTCTAAAATGGTAAGAGGTTCTTAAAGAGACAGAGGCCAATTTTAAGAGGCTTAGATAGACTATGATGCAGTCAAATTTATTTTTGACATAATTTTCATAACAACTGAAGGTTTTGTGGTATAGAATTAATATATGTGCCTGGAAAATACATTATACCCTCCTTTTTAAAAAAGCCTGAAAAGCTGTTACTTAAAGTGACTGAAATAAAACAAGAACCGAACACTCCTTGGAAGCAAAAAAAGAAACAAAAGCTGACCTAAGACTTTACAGCATTAATCTGAAACTTATAATCATTTGCTTGATTTTGGTGGTTTGTACATGAATGTCTCAGTTAAATGTCTCCAATCAATGAACAATGTGTATCTTTCTGCTTTGAGATTTGTGGTTGGCTGCAGATGCCTCGCGCATCACTGTGAGTTGTATATGAAAGCTGGTTGGTCTCCTCTGAAGGCATGAAGATACACTCACTGGTCTTTGATTTATAAGGCTTTAAATGGCCATGCTCCATCTTACATACTGGCAGGTTCACTCCACATGATTTCATTAAACAGTGTCAGTGTTTTCATTAAACAATGTTATTTTTTTCTTACAGTTCCTACCTTTTATGTTTGTCTAAATTGTTAAAAATGTTTGTCATTTTCTTATGATTGTGACTTGTTTGTGTCCAGGTCCCACTTGAAATCGAGATTTATTCAATTCAAATTCTGAAATACTTTATTGATCCCAGAGGGAAATTAGGTGTTGTTGTAACTCATTTAACTAAAAACTTATTGTAGATGCTGATGGCTGTGGGCAGGAAAGGTCTTCTGTAGCGGTCTGTATTACAGCGAAGTTGAAGAAGCCTCCGACTGAAGACACTTTGTCTTTCTATGACAGTGTGATGAAGAGGATGGTCAGGGTTGTCCACAATGTTCTTGATTTTATGTAAAATCCTTCTTTGCACCATCATCTCCAGAGATTCCACAGTCGTCCCCAGAACAGAACCAGCCTTCTTTATCAGGTTGTTTAGTCTTTTTAGGTCCTTGGCTCTGATGCTGCTGCCCCAACAGATGATGGAAGAAGAGATGACGCTCTCAACAACAGACTTGTAGAAGATCTGCAGCATCTTGCTGCAGACATTGAAGGATCTCAGCTTCCTTAAGAAGTACAGTCTGCTCTGTCCTTTCTTGTAGACTGCTTCACTGTTGAGTCTCCAGTCCAGTCTGTTGTCCAGATGAACACCGAGGTATTTATATTCCTCAACCACCTCCAGTTCTTCTCCCATGATGGAAACAGGGTTTGATCTAGCACTATTTCTCCTGAAATCTACAATCATCTCCTTTGTTTTGTTCACATTCAAGATGAGATTATGATCCCAATGAGGGTTTAAATCTGCTTAAATAAAAGAAATGAAATGGCTCACCTTTAAAGTCATGTCATCTGAGCAGGAAGCTAAAAGGTTCCCTGTGGGATCCCACTTGATTGCATTGACTTCATTCTGCAGACAGAGAGGAGAGGATGTGGACACTAACAGCTTCAGACCAGACCCAGTTCAGGCTCAGTAAAGTTAAAATGCTTTAAATCAAACTGTGATCAATAAGGAGCAAGTGTCACTTTTCATCACTTACTGTGTGTCCCTGGAATGTTTTAATGGGCCTGTCCTGTCCCAGTTTACAGACGTGAATGCACATGTCTGTACTACAGGAGGCGAACGTATTGTTGCTCTGCCAATCCACATCGAGTGCTGGAGCTGTGGGAGACCAGCAGACAGACGTCAGACAGCTCCAAATATTAGACCCAACAGGCAGAGGTGGTACTGTACCTGAATGGAAGGGAAACTGCTGTTTGGCTTCTCCTGTATGAGCGTCCCAAATGATTGTTGTCTGTCAGAACATATACAGAGTTGGAGCACTGAACGACTGATAAAAGTGAAAATGTGATGTTTCTGAAGTAAAGGAGCTGCTTTACCTTGTCTACTCCTGCACTCAAGATAAAATTGCCTTTTTTATTCCATTTTAGAGCAAAAATAGGACCTTTGTGTTGACCCAGAGTACTGGCTAGATTCCCTGTGGAGCAATTTAAGAAAAACACACACAATAAATCAACATTTTGAAAGATTTTCTGAATCTATATAACCCTTAAACACAAACACAATGGGCCTCATACGAGAGCCGATCGTACGCACAGATTTGTTCTTAAGTTGTGCGTACGAGTGATTTAGGAGAATTTGTGGCATTCACCAATGTTTTCGTATTCTAAGATTTTTTTCAGATACGAACAAAATTCACGAGTGGTCCAGACCTGTCGTAGATTTTATGAGCAGTCAGTCTGCTGTTATCCAGATGGATTTTCTTCATTAATAACTTTCTATTTCACTAGTTAGAAGATATTTCGAGTTGAAAATAAATCATACTCTATAATTATGTTGACAAGAGGCTATTCTGTTTGAATTAGAATTATAATTTTAAATGTAATAATTTAGACTAATGACATAAATTGGTTAAATTAAAAGAAAGTGGCTATTAATCTTGTTGTATAGCACTACATTATTAATATGAAGTTAACTGAAGTTTTGAGACATTTTAAAGTGCTTTTTGTCAGAAACGCATCCTTGTGCCGGGGGGACGCGACTGTTCCTCTGAATAAGTGAAACCTATGTAACACAGTTTACACTGAAATTAAAAATATTTCACCAAAGAAAAACTGGAACAGGACTACAGAGAGAGATAAATATGATTTAGATTTTTATTTCTGTGACTGTACGACCCACAGGAGACACAACATTAAAAGCAGTCGTCATTTCATTCCTCGGCTTTAAAGCAGATCCTTTAAATCTACAGCTGACCCTGCTAAAAATGACTTTTTTTATTTTGTGGATCTCCGAGAGAAGAACTTCAATCTCCGAACTAGTTCTTCTTTTTTACTTTGCAATTTCACTTATGAATGAACACTTCCTGTATACACATACAGGAAACATATATCCTTATATGGTGTTTTTGGGGTGGTAATTATGTAAATCTTCTCTCCTCGTGCACGAGCAGCTGGATACGCATTCATCAGTTTACGCTCCTCATTTACACACTTTTCCTGAAGATAGAAGTGTTTGTTGAATCTGACGTGACATGTTCGTACGAAGCCTTTGTACGAACAAAAGAGAAATTTAGTATAAGAATACGAACATGTTCTTGCATGAGGCCCAATGGCTGTGTATCAATTCAGGGGCTGCATCCTCCTGAGTCGTGCTGTCCCAATTCGTGGGCTCCTTCTCGTGCGGCCGACAAATGTGGTCCACAAAACCCCAAAAATGAAGGCTGCATCTGAGCATCCCTCTCAGTTGATGATATCCCAGGCTTCATTGCACAAACTAAGCAGGAAAACGAAGACAGCATTTTTTTTCTTACCAAGTCGGTTTAGTGTGGAAACCGTTCACGGACCTAACAATTTGTTTTTAAATGTAAGTTTAGCAACTTAGCTGATGAACTTTATGCTGTAGTGAGATGATGAATAAAATGCAACTACTACGTTTAGACCATTTTATGTAGCCTACACGGACTACGAAGACTGTGGCCTACATGGACCACGGTCTGGGTAGTCTGCAGCCCCTGAACTGAGACACAGCTATAGACGTAAACACTCAAGGTTAATGCAGTTGTGTAGAGTTGCCACTAGATGGCTGCATCATAAATAGACAAACAGTCATTCAGGACCTAATTTGAGCTGTTATCAAAAATTCCAGCAACAAGGAATACCTCAATCAAAAGTATACTTCCAACTTTGTAGGATTGTTTTGGTTGGTTTGTTTTACTTCTTAGCTGTTCAATAATTTTTACTTAAAAAAAACGACTAACTTAATGTTCCCACTGAGTAAAAAAAAAAGCATCTCACCATCTTTTGTCCATATTCTGGCAAAGCCGTCGTACGAGCCTGTAGCTAACAGTGTGCCCTCACTCTGTAGGACAGAAACAGAGAAAAACATGTTTAATTTAACACCATTTGATGAGCTCGTCAACAAACATCACTGAGTTTGCTCCATCAGGTCATCTCACTTTCCTTTTAGATTATGGACCCATAACATTGGAGGTCACCATGGTCACTGAACATTACCAATCGTCCACAGATACAGGTGAACATGAAAAACCCAGGAGAGGGAACGGTCTTAAAAAAGCACTGAGGGGAATTCAAATCAGAAATACTTCATTAATCCCAAATGGAAATTACGTAATCTGACACGTTTTATGGAATCTAGCAAACCTGAATACTGGTTTCTTGTTGCTACATTTGGCTACAAACAGCACTACTAATCCATTTAACCAGTAAAACTGGTGTCGTGTACTCGCATATTAGGTTGTGCGTGCACTGCAGAGTGCTGCAGACACAGAGGAGGATAAAATGTACTGGAAGCAGCCTGGAGGAAAACTTTTGAGGCTTTTCTGGTATTTTTAATTTCTCTTTGATCTCTGATACAAAGGCACTGATGGTGTCTTTAATGTGCATGGGTGGTGCTTTTGTCTGATGGTGCACTAGTAAAGTAAAATCAGGGTTTCATTGAAATAAAACAATAACATCAATGCGATTTGAATGTGAGACAAATAAAAACATTGTCTAAGCTGATTTTCTGTCAGAAACTCAGAGCATGTTTCATTTCTGACATAAAGCTAAATAACGAGGGCGCAGCTTAACTGCAAAATTGGCCATAATAAACTATTGTACAGTTAAACAGAAAAACATGGAGAAGCAAACAGACAGTCTTCACATTATTCACAGCTCCAGCATAGCTTTGTCTCCTAAGTCTCAACTGGACTGCTTTTCTTTTAGTCTAACTTACTAGTAGATGTTATGAGTCCGTAAGCTGAATGAAAGCCATTAAATGCAAAATTAATAATGCATTCATATATTCATGAGGACGGATTGCAGTGTGTGTGTGTGTGTGTGTGTGTGTGTGTGTGTGTGTGTGTG